ACTAAAGTATGTGATCTTAGCATTGAGGCCTTTATTTGAAAAGGCCCTGCAATATCCACACCGGTGATCGTAAAGGGCGGAGAAAAGGTGCACCGCTCAGATGGCAAAGCTGCCATAATTTGGGAGTGCATTTGCTGTTTGTGGACCGTGCAGGGTTTGCATCGAAAGATGCATTTCTTTATGAGATTCTTGAGCCGAGGGATATAGAATTCCTGTCTGGTGACCTGTTGCATCAGACGTATTTCGGCGTGGAGAAGCAACTCGTGCAAGAAGCGTAGATAGAGGGTGGCGAATCGGGATTTCTTGGGAATAATTATGGGATGTCGCTCATTGTAGCTTAAGGTGGCGTGAGCTAATTGACCGTTGACACGGAGTAGGTTATGCTTATCGATGGACGGATTGAGTGTTAGCAATGGACTCCGCTTATCGATTGGTTTTTTATTTTCTAAGCAAGCCCTTTCACGAGGGCCCTGTCGAGTCTGCGTCAAAGCTATAAGCCGGTATTTCGTAGTACGGAGTTCATCGTGGGTGAGGGAAACAGGGTGAACCGTATGAACTCCTTCTACTCGACGTTTCAGGGTGTTTATAAGTCGGAAGACATACGACATTACCCTGAGGGCGCGCGGAAATGAGGAGAAACGGTCTAAAATGTCAGTATCTTCTTCAGCGGCATGGAGAGCCTCCATCCGTCGAGTTTCTGGGGCGTTGATGCCTCGCTCTGCAGATTTTGGCCAGGCTTCGGGGGGGCTTATTAGCCATTCCGGATCATTCCACCAGAGGGAGGAAGCTGCTAAATCAAGGGGTTTCCATCCTCTGGTTCCCATATCAGCTGGGTTGTCCTTGCCGCGCACGTGTCGCCAGGTGGCGTTTCCAACTAGGTCGATGATTTGCGCAGTGCAGTTGGAAACAAATGTTTTCCACGTATGGAGTGTAGAAAAACCACGCTAGAACGATTTCGGAATCAGACCACATGATAAGCCTTTTTGTGGAGAGATTAAGATGGGTTTGGACGAGAGCGACGAGTTTGGCTAGAAGGAGAGCTCCACACAATGCGAGACGGGGTAGGCTGATGGTTCGTAGGGGTGCCACTTTGCTTTTAGCTACCAAAAGACGAGAGGTTACTTGGGTGTCATGGGTACCACGAACGTATATGGTGGCGCAATATGCCTTTTCCGAGGCATCGCAGAAGCCGTGGAGTTCAACATGACTATCGGGGATATAATTTACCCATCTAGGTATTTGGATGTTTGAGATTGATTGTAAATTATTGGCGAACTGTGTCCATTTTGTTAAACGGAGGTGTTTGACCTGCTCGTCCCAGTCAGTCCCGTCAAGCCATAGCCCTTGTAAGAGAATCTTGGCTTGTATCATTATCGGCGTAAGCCATCCTGCGGGGTCGAAAAGTTTCGCCACAGATGAAAGGATTTGCCGTTTTGTGTTCGCGGATGATGCTGGGATGGGATCAGCTGTATAAGAGAAGGAGTCAGTGAGGGCGTTCCACTGAATCCCCAGAGTCTTCGTAGTGCTTGCCTTTTCAATCTCGAGTAAGTTGGTGTCCAGCAAATCTTCCTTATTTATGTCTTTCAGGATATTAGGATGGTTGGCAGCGATTTTTTTCAGGGGAAAACCGGCGGATTTTTGGGTAAGAGCCTGGGTAGGAGTGAGCAGGTCATGACTCCCAGATAGGATGTCATCCACATAGGTTTCTTTGGTTAATAGGGGCACAGCCAAGGGTTGGGTAATTTTTACGTCTTGTGCTAATTGGTGGAGAGTGCGTATGGCTAGATAGGGAGCACAATTAACGCCCAATGTGACGGTTTTCAGTTTATAGTCTTGTATTGGACTTCCTGTGGATGCACGAAAGATAAGTCTTTGAAAGTCTTGGTCTTCTTCGTGTAAGAGTATTTGGCGATACATTTTCTCCACATGACCATTGAAGACATATTGGTAAGTGCGCCATTTGAGAACTAGTAGCATCAAATCGGGTAGTAGGGTCGGCCCGGTATGCAGAATATCATTAAGCGAGTTGCCGGTGCCCGATTTCTTTGATGCATTGAAGACAACTCTTACTTTCGTGGTTCTTTTTTCAGGCTTTATGACTGCATGATGGGGAAGATAATAGGAGAAGTATTTTCCCTCTGAGGTTATATGATTGAGGGTAAGATATTCCTCCAAAACACTGTCATAAAGATGTTTTAGATCGCTTTTCTTGAGAAGATTCTTCTCCATACTGAGGAAGTGTTACAAGGCTGCGGTACGAGAATATCCTAAGGCGTTTTTATCAGGAAAGTTTGACTTAAGTGGGAGTCGGACTATGTAACGCCCTTCAGTGGTGCGGGTCGTTGTTGATTTATAAAAATCTTCACATATCTCGTCTTCCGGGGTGATGTCTTCATATTTTGGAACTTCTTCTAAGTTCCAAAATTTTTTAATTGCATATTCAAATGCTCATTTGTGGCATCCTCTACCTGAGTCGAGAAAGTTGCAACTCTTTCTGGGCCGCTCAGTATCCAACCGAATATGGTGTTCTGGGCAAGTAAGTTGCGAGAGATTCTTTCAAGACCATCAAGCATAATTTGGGGAAGCATATCGCTGCCTATAACCAGGTCGATTTGGGAAGGAGAGTTACAGTTAGGATCTGCTAAGTCAAGATGGGACCATTTCTTCTTTTTCTCAGAATTTATAGGGAATTTTGGAAGCAACTTGGTTAGTTGGGGCAGTACTATCGCTTGCGCTGGAATTTCGCGCTTTAGATCAGCGCTGACTATGACCAAGGAGCACAACTCGAAGTTTGGCAAGGTAGCCTTAGTCTGGTCTGGGCTTTCGATGAGATAAAAGTGCGTTGGGAGCCCTGATCAATGAGTGCTCTCAGTTTGAAGAGCTCACCTGTATGTTTTACATGGACTATCGCAGTTGGGAGGAGTACTTGGTTTTCATTTTCTGTATAAAGGGATTGCACTTGATTGGAAAATTGGGGGAGCTCGTCTTGGGTTTCCGAACAGCCCGGCGTTTGCAGGTTAGCAGAAGCTGTTGAACCTGAGAACTGGTTCTCCGGGGTTGTCGTTGACGCTGGTTAGGGGTGGAGGTTACGTCCTTGTGGAGAGTTGTGTGATGCCTTCTTTGACATTTATAACACGTCCGATCAGATGGGCAGTCTTGGAGGTTATGCGTGGAGGACAGGCAATTGGTACATAAGTTATGTTCCCTTACTAATTTTTCGCGATCGTTTATGGAGAGTCTTTTATATTTGGGACACTGACTGAGAGAATGGGTTTGTTGTTTGCACATCACGCAAGCGAACTTTTTCCTTTGCTCTGTCATGTGTGACTGGACCTGAGAAAAGGATCTATTTTGTGACCCGAAGGTTTGTATTGGTTTCGAAGAACAATAGGTCGTGGGATGGGAGTAGCCTTTTGTTACTATTATTTGCGAAATTAGGCTTGTCTTTGGGTGGTCGCCATTGGTCGACCCTTTCAACTACCTTGTATCTTGTGGTGAGGAACTGGTTCATTTGGGACCAGTTGGGGAGGTCTTTCCTCGAGCTTAGGGACTGTTCCCATAAAGTAACCGTGTTCTCAGGGAGTTTCGAGGTAATTAAGTAGATTAATATGGGATCCCAGCTTTCGGTGGATACATTCTGGGTTGCCAGGATTTGGAGGCAGTTGTTAACAGTGGATTGAAGTCTTTGAATTTCTTCACTGTTCTCCACCTGAATTGGCTTTAGGTTAATTAGAACTCGAATCTGGTTGTCCACTAGTACGCACTTGTTCTCATATCATATTGTCATCACTAAGGGCGAATTGTTTCACGATCTGGCCGGCTTTACCTTGTGTTTTGTACCTAAGGTGGTACAATTTTTGCGCTTTTGTGAGTTTAGGGTGGTTTATGTAGACCGCCGTGAACATGTCACGGAAGGACGGCCATTGTTCATAACCCCCTTAAAAGACCTCAGTATCACCAAAAGCCAAAGCCAGATTCGTCTTTGGGTTGCGACGTAGAGTGCGCAGGCACGGGAATGCTCGTTTATTTGAGGAGGTGGAGCTGGTCACCGATTAGCGCTTTGTGTCCTCATAGGTGATGAGGCATGACCGGTATTTGCTGTAGGCACAAGTTTTAAAATCTTCAGGGAGGTCATGCTCATCTGTCTCTACTACCATATCATACGAATTTTGCACTCGTGCCCAGAAATTGTCTATGTTGGCATTTTTAATATCTAGGGCAGACTCAGAATTATCTTCTAATGGGGTTGATCTAAATCGTGTGCAATAATCCATAAAATTATCAGTCTCTGCTATGAACTTAGTGGATGAGACCGAAGGTTCCGATTATTTTGCGGACTTTCCACTTGAACGCGTCGGGCGTTGTGATTCGGTGGAAGCGCTTTGACCTTTTTTGTCATCACTCATTTTGGGGCTTTTGGACTTGTCTTCGGTGTGGGTTGCCAATAACATCAAACGTATGAGAATTTACGGTTATATGGAGGTTATTACTTCGAATATGTGACGATTTGAATTTAAATTCACGTTTGAAATGCAGAAATCAGAGAGCTTGGAGAAAAACAAATAAAATTTTGCTGAGGTATATAGAAGACACAATAGACCGCTATAAATTTCAGTAACTCCGTTAAAGAGATGTAAAAGTGGATATTGGAGGTATATGGTTGAACTGAGACGAACTAGTTTATATTAAGAAAAATTGGGGAAACCACTTTGTTTGAATGGGTAGGGGTGGTATCGTGTTTACTCGCGAAACTATTTTCTACTCACACGTAAGCACAGAATATACGTATTTTATGTATAATAGAAATGATATGTTACTAAATAAGGATATATTCAATTTTATAATTATATCTCGCTGAGATGAGTTTTTTGGCCCACTGTATATGCTATTTACTTTTTATGTACATATATAACGAACGAACTGGGAACGGGATACTGCTTATACGAGCAAAGGGAATGTTCGAAAAAACACAACTTTATCTATTTAAATGTACATATGTACGAATGTATGTACGCAAATACGCTTTTACTTGGGTATCGAAAATTAAGCACTTTGATTATTCACCCAATGATTTTCAATAATTATTTGGCTTGTACGAGACGCAGCCAATATGGGTTTTGCAAAATTTTTTAGTTTAGTTTGCTTATATGGCGGGATTTTCTATAAGTATATACATATGCATAGACACACACGTATGTATATATTTAATGGTTTTTTTTTTTTTTTTTTTTTTTTTTTTTTTT